CGTTATGTGCCATCAAGTCACCTGCAACTCATAGTGACCCTATGTACACTAGCTCTTAACTCTGCCCTATCCCATCATCTCTAACAAATTTCATCCCATGAGTCAATCCATCTCTTCCTGGGTCTCCCTCTTCTGCACGCAGTCCCTCCACCCTTTCAAGAATGATGTCCTTTTCCAAGAACTGACCCCTCTTGGTCATGTGCACAAAGTATGTGAGATGGAGCTTCAAAATCCTCACCTCCAAAGAGTAGCCTTGTTTCACTCTCTCCAGGAAAGATATGCTCTCTTGGCAGTCTTCGGTATGTTCAACATTCTTCTCCAGCACAACTCAAAGGCATCAATTCTTTTTCTATCATCCTTAGTTATTGTCCAGCTCATGGATGCACAGTAACTAACTGTGGAGACCATGGCCTGGATCAGGCACACCTTAGTCTCCAGACTGACATCATTGCTCTTCAGTACTCTAAGAGAGGTCCCTGACTACAGACTTCCCCAATGCAATTTTTGTTTTGATTTCCTGACTGCTAGTGCCAAGAGTCTTGCTGGAACCAACCAAACTGAAGTTACTAACAATCTCAATCTTTTCTCCATCATGAAGCTTCTAGTTGACCCAGTGGTGAGAATCTTTTGTTTTCTTGATGTTGAGCTTCAATCCATACTGAGGACTACCATCGTCGACCTTCTGCAGCAAATGCTTCATGTCCTCAGTTTCAGCGAACAAGGTTATCTGCATAATGCAGGTTTAGTCTTTTCTTCAATTCCAATGGCACACTGCTCCTCATAGAGCCCAGCCTTCCAAGTGGTCTGCTCTGCATATAGATTGAAAAGGTACAGGTAGGATGCATCCATGAAGCCCACCTTTCCTGATTCTGAACCATGCAGTGTTTCCCTGCTCTGTTCTGACTACTGCTTCCTGGTACAAGTATAGATTTTGCATGAGCACAATTAAGTGTTTTGAGATTCTCTTCCTTTTCAAAGTTAGCCACACTTTGTTGTGATCCATAAAACCAAATGCCTTTGCATTTTGAATTAAACAAAGACAGACATTTCTCTGATACTCTCTGCTTTCAGCCAAGATCTAACATTGGGTGTGATGTCCCTAGTGCCACAGCCTCTTCTAAACACAGCCTGTGTATCTAGCAGTCCTCTGTCCATGTACTGTTGCAGCTGGTTTTGGACAACATTCAGCATGACCTTGTTTGCATGTCAGTGGTATTGTTCTACAATTTCACACTGTTGGGTCCCCTTTTTTTGGAACTGGAATAAATACAGATCTCTTCAGGTAGGTGTCCTCCAGATTTCTTGGCATAACCTGGTATTCAAGTCCAAGGCAGTATTTTTGTGGAAATATGTCAACTGGTATTCATTCCATCAATTCCTCAGGCCTTGGTTTTTTGCCAATTATTTCAGAGCAGCTTGAACTTCCTCCTTCATCACCACAGACTCTTGATCATGTTGTTTCATTAACTTCTTCTGTGTCAGCCAGTTCTGGTATAGTGCCTCTGTGTACTCCTTCTATCTTCTGATGCTTCCAGGGTCATGCAGAATAAGCATCTTAAGTATTACAACTTGAAGCTTCACCTTGTTCTTCAGTTCCTTCAGCTTCAGAAATGCCCATCTAGTTCGTAACTTTTGATTTTCTGACATCAGCTCTTTTCACATTTATCTACTTTGCCATTTTCCTGGGCTGCCCTTTGAAATCTTCTTTTCAGCTCCTTGATTCCCCC